GTGGATCTCTGTGAGTTTCAAGACAGCCTGGTCTATAGAGTGAGTTCTAGGACAGGCTCCAAAACTACACAGAGAAACCCTATCTTGAAAAACCAAACCAAACAAACAGACAAAAACAACAACAACAAAAAAACCCAAAATAAAACAAACTTAGACCTGAGAAGTGCTTCCAGCAAAATAGCAAGAGACAAACAAAATTAGCATACAAAATGCAGTAGCATATTAAAATACCAATAACAAATTCATCGAGAAAACAATTAGGAATAACTCGTAACAGTTTCAAAATTAAATATCTAAGAGCCAAGTGTAGTGGTTTTACTGTGTAATATGAGGGGCCTTGCTTGTTTGTGTTTTCTGTCCTGCCCGCCCCCCCCCAAATGTTTAGTCCCAGAGAAAAATCACACACAGATCTCTATAAGTTATAATGCTGATTGGCCCTTTAGGTCAGGTTTCTTATTAGCTAACGTTCACATCTTGATTAACTCATTTTTCTGATCTATGTTAGCCATGTGGCTCAGTACCTTTTTCAGTGGGGCAGCTCACATCCTGCTGCTTAGATGGTCTGGGCAGGAATGGGAAGAATCAGCTTCCTACTTCCCAGAATTCTCCTGCTCTCCTTGTATCATTTCCACTTCCTGTCTGGTTTTCCCGCCTACACCTCCTGCCTGGCCAATCAGCGTTTTATTTAAAACATGATTGACAGAATACAGACAATTCTCCCGCACCACTTCCCCCTCTTTTTTTTTTAAATAAAAAAAAAAAAAAAAGAAGAAGGAAAATATCCATAGTCCATTATCTTTGATCAAGGGAGGCCACCTGAAAAATCTCCGGTAGGAACAATGACCCAGATGTCTGAGTTCTTCATCCAGAACAGGTTCAAGACTGCTGCCTGAGATGATCAAGACTCACAGAATACTTCAATCAGGACTTGATCATAACTCTAAATTTTCTTTAAGTTCCATAAGATTATCAGCACCCCCAAGCAGCTGGAAGTAGCCTGGAATACTATGCCCACGTTCCCAAAAAATGGACTATGGATATTTTCCTTTGCTTTTTTTTTTTTAAAAAAAAGAGGGGGAAGTGGTGCAGGAAAATTGTCTGTATTCTGTCAATCATGTTTTAAATAAACGCTGATTGGCCAGGCAGGAGGTGTAGGCGGGAAAACCAGACAGGAAGTGGAAATGATGCAAGAAGAGCAGGAGAATTCTGGGAAGTAGGAAGCTGATTCTTCCCATTCCTGCCCAGACCATCTAAGCAGCAGGATGTGAGCTGCCCCACTGAAAAAGGTACTGAGCCACATGGCTAACATAGATCAGAAAAATGGGTTAATCAAGATGTGAACATTAGCTAATAAGAAGTCTGACCTAAAGGGTCAACCAGCTTTATAACTTATAGAGTCCTTTGTGTGATTTTTCTCTGGGACTAAACAGCTAGGGGGCCAGGCAGGACAGAAAAACCCCCAACAAACAGGCCTTTTCATGTTACATTACTGCCTTTAATTCCAGCAGTGGGGAAGCAGGAGAAGGTGAATCTGTGAGTTTGAGGCCAGACTGGTCCACATAATGAGTTTCAGGAAGTCAGGATTACATAGAGAGACCCTGTGTCAAAAAACAAGACAAACAAAAACCTATGAATAAACCTAACCAAAGAAGAGTATGAATAAACCTAACCAAAGAAGAGGAAGTCTCTACAATAAAAACTTTAAGACACTGATGAGAGAAACTGAAGAAGGCACTTGGCGGTGCAAAGACTTCTCAAGCTCACAGACAGACAGGAATAAGTGTAAAAATGGTTACACTATCAGAAGCTATGTACGGAGTAACTGCAGTTCCCATCCACATCCCAATGACGTTCCTTACAGAACTAGAATAAAATCACCCTGAAATTCATATGGGAGCACAAAACATTCTGAATAACAATAGAAATCTTTAGGGGGAAAAAGGCAGCACTGAAGTTATCAAAATAGCCAATCTTTAATGGTATTGCAGTCATGGCAATAAAAACCACATAGTACTAGCCCAAAACAGATGCATAGACCAATGGGAAAGAACAGAGGACTCAGAGATAAACATACAGGCACAACAGACTGAGTTTTGACAAAGTTGTCAAAAATATACACTAAAGACAAGCCCCTTAAATGGTGCTGGGAAATCTGAATTCCCACACGTAGAATGAAACTAGATCCTATCTCTGCCCTGTCCCCCAAAGACCTGGAACTTTGAAAGTTCTAGGGAAAACCACAGGTAAAGCACTTTGAGACTCGTCACAGCAAGGACTTTCTGAAAAAACAACCAGGAACTGACAAATGGGAAAACATGACCTGAAGAGGCTTCAGCAGAGCAAAGGACACAATCACTGGAGCAAAGTGACACCTACAGTGTGTGTGTGTGTGTGTGTGTGTGTGTGTGTGTGTGTGTGTGTGTGCGTGTGCGTGCGCGCGCGTGCACGTGCACACACGCATGCCAACTATACACCAGACAGATTAGTGTCCGATATATATAAAGAGCTGCAAAAATTAAAGCACTACAAAACTAAGCAGTCGGACCAATACATGGACATGAGATAAATAGTTCTCAGAAGAAAAAATATAACTAAGCTGTCGGACCAATACATGGACATGAGATAAATCGTTCTCAGAAGAAAAAATATAAAACAGTCACTATTTACTTGAAAAGGTGTTCAGCATCCTTACCTATCAGGGAGATGCCAACTAAAATTGCCTTCAGATTCCACCGCACCCCAGTCAGAATGGCTACCAACAAAGGAAAAGGGGGTAACAAATGCTGGGGGTGTGTGTGCCAGAGTGACACAGTACTTGATTTGTGTTTATGGAAATGCTATCATAAAACGTGTATTTTAAATAATACATTTAATTTTATTGTATGTGCATTCATGTAAGGATGTCAGATCCCCTGGATCCTGAGTTATAGACTGTTGTGAGCTGCCATGTGGATTCTGGGTCCTCTGGAGAGCAGCCAGTGCTCTTAACCGCTGCAATATCTCTCCAGCTCTAAAACATGTATTTTTTCAGAATGAAAAAAAAAAAGCTTCTCAGAGAAGTTTGGAGGAAAGAATATGCCAGCACAGAATACAGCTTGTGAGCACAGAAACTGAGAGGGGCAGGGTGGAGATATGGCTGTAGTTCATGTGTGTGCCCACTAAGGGGCAGCACACACAAACTCAGCTTTTCTCCAACAGCCAGACTCTGCCCTTCCTCAGGTAGATCTTCCCTCCACACCACAAGACTGTGTCACCCACCCATTCCCAAATGTAAGACTTCAGAAAGCCACCCCCTGCTGGCACCCTAAGCCACCCCCGCTGACACCTGAAGTCACCCTGCCGCTAACACCCTCAGAGAGTTTCTTTGCCACGTGGTCATTTACCCAGACACTGTCTTCGTTGCTCCCCCACACCCCCTCTGCTTGCCCCTTCTCTCCACGCTCTAGCTGAAGAATCCCACCTGGCCACTTCTGACACCTCACTGCCATCAGCACCACCTCCCTGCCTGCATGTGAGTGCAGGGATGATTGCCAAATGAATGGGTTCGGGATGATAGAGGGGATCCAGCTGGCCCAGCAGACGGTAGTAGGGTCTATTGTGGTGTTGCAGTTGAAGGTGGGTGACTCTGGCTTCAAATTGGGGTTTTTTAGTAGACATGGCATATACAACTAAAATCTACATTTTGTTACATCTTAAGAGACATGAACTTTATAGCTTTAGTTGATATTATTATTATTATTATTATTATTATTATTATTATTATTATTATTGGTGGTGGTGGTGGTGGTGGTAGTGGTGGCTTTTCAAGACAGGGTTTCTCAGTGTAGCCCTGGCTGTCCTGGAACTCACTCCGTAGACCAGGCTGGCCCTGATCTCAGAGATCTGCATGCCTCTGCCTTCTGCGTGCTGAATTTATTAATTTAATTAATTCTGTTTTCTCTTGAGAAACCGTCACCACCACTCTGGCAGGTGAGTGTTGATAGCTCTTAGTGTCCTCCATTTGCTGAATTTAGAGGTGGGGTGGGGTGAAGGAGTGTCATGGAGATCGTGCCTTAGGTAACTGTGCGGCTGATGTCACACAGTCTCAGGATTGCTACTGTCAGAGACCGACTAGACCCCGAACCCTACAAGACAGGATGAAGTTGTCTGCAGGGGGTCATCTACTAAGGCCAGCTCACTGACTTCCACTCCTGAGGAAATGAGAATCTTTCCAGGGTTAGGGAAGGAATGTCCCAAAGTGCCTTTGATCTGTCTCAAGTCCCGCTACCTTAATGGCTGAGTTAAGAGGTGACCAGCCTCTTTAGAGGGGCAGTGATACTGGTGTAGGAAGAGCGCCCCAGAAGAAAATTGTGGGACTTCTCTCTCTCTTTTTCTGGTCTTGTTTTATTTTGAGACATAATCTCTTGCAGCCTAGCCTCACCTTGAACTCACCATGTAGCCAAGAACAACCTAGAACTTCTTGTCCTCCTGAGTGGAGAGATTAAACCTCCAGAGGATTGAACTTCAGATAGCCACCCCTACACTTAGTCTTAGGCCCGTTGGTTCTGGGGCTGGAATCCACTTTGATGTGTGGGGACACTGGGCCAGAGGCTGCTGAGAACCTGAGACGGGTCTAATGACCAAAGGCTGCAGAGAGGGCTAGGTGGAAGAAGCCAGGGGAGGTAGGAGCTGGGGTGGGGGGAGTGGTCAGTCAATTGCTAGAAACTGGATATACCTGAGGACCCCTCGTGGGGCCCTAAGGCAATGGCCCTGGTCCCCGGGTCAGTTGGGTAGCTCCGGGAATTGCAGGCGGCGTCTATTTCAGAGTTTATGGTAAGAGGCTGGAGCCTGCACACACACACACACACAGACAGCACACCCCACCCTTTAAGGAAGTAGGGAGGAGAGCAGCAGGGGTGTGGTTAACGACCGAGAGGAGGAGGGGGGAAAACAACCTGTCAGCCTCTTACTCAGCCTCGGCGGGCAGAACCGCGAGTCCTACCTGCGGCGGTCGCACTCACCTGGCCCAGCCCGGAGCCCTGGCCCGAGTCCGCGCCTCGCCTACGGTGAGTCCTGTACGTCGCTACACAGCGCCGGGGTCGGGGACCCGTCAATCGTTCGACTTAGGTGGAAAGCTGGAGGGGGGGGGGGGTTGAGTGTTTCGGTTCTGGGGGAACCGGGGCGCGGGGGGGATTCCCGGGA